TGTATAGCGAAGGAAAATAGTAAAGACTTGATGTATTTACAAATGAAAGTATGAATGTGCGATAAATCTATAATTGTACTTTTTCACATATACAATAAAACGCTATTGACCTCGCAGTTGTGAAAGTTTAAAACAATAAATAAAATTGACATATTTCGATCAATATGTAATTTCACAAATCTATACCAATAAATCTTTACTGGTTAATACCATCAAATAACGTTAAATATTGCCTTTCAGCAAGAATAAGTAATTAACGAGAGATAGAAGAGAATAATTTATTATATATACATAATACATACATATATACATGTTTTCTCCATTTCTGGTCCCATGTGTTTGATATTTAACATATATTTCAATATAATCAGTAGTAAAAATTATTTTATATTAATTTTGCTGATTCATTCTGTAAATCTTTTACAGCCATCTCGCACTATATATATAGTCTTAAAAAAGAGCATTCAGTGATTTTTGCTTAACATGGTGAGACAGCATAGTAAATGCGTAGACAATGACTTTAACCCAAGCTTTACTTAAAAGCAGAAATATTCTGTTGGAAGAATGAAACACAGGAGCTCTGTTAGCCTTTGGATGCTATTTTAAAGCGTAATATATCTAATGTTTTCATATTTATATGCTTGTTTGTTACACTTTATTTTTGTAATGAGTGTGCCATGAAAACAGAATAAGTCAAGTTTTTGTCCAAAACGATTATGCTAGAGCATGCTTGACTGCTCCTATCATTGTTGATGAGGAATTAAGTACATTTCTATTTTTCCATTAAACTTTATTGGACAATATTGATAATATATGATTAACTATGAAGAAGATTTTATAATTTTGTTGTTTCGAAATTACAAGTAAGTAGAAAATGCAAACCCCTCAAAAATTCTGCCTGGCTAAGGTTACAGAAGCAGAAGTCCATGCAGGAGGCAACAGATGGCAATAATGCAAAGAGCATTTCATATACATATAAGAATAATGATACTAATAGTTGGAATTGCAACAAGTGAAACAGTCCTTAACATATAAACTGAAGCGAAGTGCTTATTCGCTATTAGTATTTATCGTTCCACTCCAAACTGTTTTCAAATTTCCAATAATAATTTCCGTGCTAAGCTTGAAAGTACAAAATAAAAAAAAACAACCAATAACATCCTTCAAAACTGCATTTTCTTGTTGCTTGTCATTGTCTTATTTTTCACCTACATATAAATAAACTTCGTTTATATGATAGTGAAATTAGAGATATGAATACATAATGTCTTAACCAGCTGCTTTATAATTTCAGAGGAAATCGTGTTAGTGTCATATATATATAATCGATATATCACACACATTATATACGTCATAAATCAAACAGTCAGTTTTGCTATATCAGAGGGAAACTCTCGTGTATACACATATACGTTATAGTGAAAATGGAAATAAACTCCATGAGATCAGCATTTGCAGACATTAACTGGTTTAGTCGTTATCTATGTTGAAGTCTGATGATGCATCCGAAGAAGTAGATGTCATTTCAACTAGAATCATCCAACACCATTGCTTTTTAGTTATACAAACAAAATTGCAATTAAGCAGTTTATAGTTTTAATTTGCTAAAAGTTTGAGCACACAATATGGTCTTCATATATAACTTGACCTCTTAATTAAAACACTCATCTTAAAATTAGGCAAGTTTACTGTGTTATATCAAAATTATAAGTTGAATAGATAATTCAATAAATATTCTAAAAAAAATTATCTTTTTATAAATTTCAATCTCATACAAATTCATATAAAATTAGTGAACTTACACATACATTTTAGACATTACAACTTATAAACCTTAATTCTAAAGATAAAAGAACTTCCAATTAATATTGATAATGAATTGCATGCTTGAAGATTACTGTAATTGTCCATTTTGTAATTATATGACATATTTCTCTTTTATAATTAAGTCCAAAATTAAAAACAATCTTTTAAAACTAATTTACAAGTATATTTTAAAGTAACTCTTTTGCATTTTTTTTGCAATAATTATACTAAACAGTATCCAATATAATTGTTTTTGATTGTCTTCTTTATTTTCATCAAACTTTTAGTAACCTTGTTTCTACATAATATAACTCATCACAGGTATCTTCATAAAGGCAAACTTTATCCTCAGCATAGTATTTTTAAAGCAATACATTAATATTTTAGAAACACTCTTTATCAATTTTCTTCGTTCCTCATAAAAATCAAAGTGAGAATGATTAAGTACAATGTCAATTTACACAATAGTAGTGAACAATATATATATAATATATATATTTTTTTTTATTTTTTAATCATACTCATGTTGAAGTATAATTGTATTAACAATATACATTTGATATTTATACAGAAACATATATATATCTGATGTATTTTCTTAACGAGACACAGGATATGCTTATTAAGCTAACAACAGGTGCAAGCGTTCAAGTTGGGCAAAGCTTTCAATGGGGTAGCTGCACGATGCGAGTTAGAGACTGTGCAGGAGTGTTGCAATCGGTGATAATTCGTGCATATTCAGCTTGTTTTTTAATAATGAGGTTCTAGAGTATATGTAAAGTGTTTTGCCGATTGCTTTCAACGGATGGTTGCATAAACCATCAAATTCGTTACAGTCCTTCAAAGTTTGTGACATCGACTTTTGCTCATTTTTTTCTTTTTTTCATACTTGTTCAACGTTGTGTCACTGAGTTTCTTCAAATTTTCTCAGGCGTATAATCTGCTTGTATTATTTTCTGTTTTGGATCTTTTTTGATTCATTAACTTTTTCTTAATTGTGAACGACAAAGTTTTTTGGATATACATTCATTGTTCTCTTTTCTCTCAACTTCAAAATTATGGGTGATACATATATTATTATACAATGTATGGAGGAGCGATACAAATTTCTCATTCTTAACATATTGATTTTATGTTAATCATTTCCAATTATGTTTCTTTTTTTCTTTTTTGAGGCGCTTTGCTGCTTATGTTTTTGTTTTTTATTATCACTTTTGGACTTTTGATCTTTGGATTTTCGTTTTTATTAGGTTTCTATTTTTTGGACTTCCCTTCATCATAGCATTATCTAACCCAGGAGCAGAATTCAGGTTTCTAACGTGCCTCCGTTCCCTCTTTCATCCCTTATTTCTCTCTCTGCACCAGTTTGTGAATTAGTTTTCAAGGAATTGTCTTGTATGTCAATATATATACATACAAAGATTTATTGCTTCATTTTATTTTGTCCACGCAATTGAGCGTTTCATACACTTCCTTCCCCTCGGATATGTAAATAGTGTCGACCGTTATATATTGTATATATACATATCTTCCTGTTTATAATCATACGCATTCGCGCTGTACCTCCATTCTGACATATGCTTATCTATATAACATCGATTCTAACGCCCAGAATAGTCCTTTTGCATCATGCTTTCTAAAGAACCTGGTGGCCATATCTCCCAGTTCTATGGTAGAAATTATTTTGACTATATACAGTTTAATATAAGATATAGATCCTTTGGTTATTATATATATATATAATGATTACCGTGATATCCTGTTCAGAAGATTTATAGCACACGAACCTACCATTCGTGTTTGCTCTGGTTATATATATATATATATTTTTTCTTATATAGTTATTTTAACTTTCAGTACACACATATTATTGAATTCTAGTTTCTTTACAGAAGTTACCATTAGCTCTGTCATCAGTGTTGACGAGAATCTTAGACCCAAAACGACAAATCACTCTATTGGAGTTTAACAATTAACAACAGGTACTCTTATGGACGTGGAATGAGGCAGACCAGAAAAAACAAGTATTTGGCCTACCTCTTATCTCAATTACTCTTTGCATTATAAAATAACTTGAGTCTTCCACAAATGGCTAGTTTGTTTTTAAAGCATGACGTAACACAGTGTTTTGGATACTCTCTCTGTGTGAAGTCTAGTTTTATAAGGAAGAGATCGCTAATTAACTTCCAAAATTAACATAACAAGAACAATAATAAAATAATAATAATAATAATAATAATAATAATAATAATAATAATAATAATTAGAGGTCAGAAAATATGTAATATGAAACAGCATGTTCATAAAATTTAATGAAAACGATAAGAATATGTTACTGATATGGAAAAAGGGATGCAATAAGTAATATCAAAATACAATCTTATTTTCAAAACTGTATAACCAAACCCTTTAAATTTACACAATTGGAAGTTACATTAGCAAAATATTTACTAAACTAAATATTTAAAAAATATTGCTTGGCCTACTGAATTTAAATTTATTTTAGGAGTGCATTTTTCTTTGAGAGCATAGTAAAAAAATGTGATCTTGACACTCAGTGAACAACACTAGCATTCTCTTTGAAGTGCTTCACATTTGCGACAACCACTACTACTAGAAACTGGAGATTTAAGATCAAGAAACATGACATCCCTAACACTCCCCACACTTAAATGTAACATTCTCAGCACTATCACTTGTGGAGATTTGTCATGACACATAATTAGAGCAGAACAGACAGAGGTTAACCCAAAGAGAATACATGCATCTGATGGCTTTACATGGGGCACCTCGGGCCATCAGAACACAATTCTGAATTTATGAAAGAAAAAATGTGCCAGTTTTTTTTAAATGAAAAATAATTTTGAAAATTCATCCAAAATTTTTAAATAGATTTCAAGAAAATTGGTTAAAAAATAGTTTGCTTAAAAATATCTCCAAAATATATAAAATAAGTAATGTAGTACAAAGTACGTAACAAAAAATTTGAATAGCGTTAGGATTGTAACTATTCACCAAGATCACAATTTTGATAACTGCATAAAAATATGTAACTAAGAATGTGGGTGTTCAGTTCTGCAAGTACATGGGAAAGACGAGTGACACCATCTGAAATTATGTCACTTCCAAGGGTTGGACTCTCACTATAACTTAAGTTTCAAGCCACATGACTGAAGACAGACTGCATAACTCACCAGTTACCATTTCTTCACGACATATTATGCACACGTTGTCAGCTGCCGCAAGTTCCTCTGGTGTTGCATCAGGATACAAGGTATTCATATTGTGTATGGCACGACGTGACAAAATGACATCATTGAATGCTTTCTTGAATGCCCTACACAAAAACAAAATAGTGTATTTTACACCATAATGTACACTTTTTACATCAACTTACTTAACTTTCAATAAATTATGATCTGGACATTTACCTCATTGTGTAGTACATAGGCCTTAATGCAAACAAAGGTAAAGTGTAGATGCGAACCATTATTACTACAAATGCCAAGTATAGGAGAACCTTGAAAAATCCTAGAAAATGATCAATGCATTTTAATAAATGGTGATTAACAAATTTAGTAAGTAAATCAAGACAAGAATACTTACCCATAACAAGCTCTGTATACAATAAAAACACAGCTTTGTTTTCCCATGGGTTTTCACTATTTAAATCAACAGTGTGCAATGCATATTTGATTAGTATATTTACAATTATTGTAAGCAGAATAGCATATTCAAATCCAAACACTAATTGCACAGATGCTCCTTTGGTCACGGTGGATTGGTAGGCATGACAAACAAAATGTGTGTCCAGAAAACCCAACATAAGTAGGAGAGCTAAAATGAAACATTGAATAAATTACTTAAGTGTGTAAATAGAAACTTCATATAAAACTAGTATAGATAACATACTATACATACACAATACACGAATATGAAATAGCCAAGAAATTACAGGGCTTCGTTCCATCTGGAAAATAGAAATATAAATAGCATAATGTACACGAGATATACTCATGCAAATAAAATCATAAGAATAAATATTGAATACATACATAGTCCACACGATCTTCAGCAAGCCAATGGAAAGATTTTAAGAATAAAAGCAACGTGAATAGGGCAATAAATTTAGGGCTAAAATCATCTCTGAAAACTGTAAATGCCAGACATGTTTCAGTAACTGCATACCAAGACCGTTCCATCAAGTGCTGAAAACAAGAATTTGGTAGTCAAAGAAATGCTCAAAAAATTGCATTCCCCCTTTGTTTATTTCCATAAAAGCATATGGATATAAATTTAAAGCCATCAAACAATTTCAAGTAATAAAAATAACATGTGGGAATACCTCAAATTCTGCAGCTCGCAACTGACCAAAAAATACTTTCCGCATTAATTTGCCCATTAGTATCACAAGAATAAATGCTTGCAGATAAATTACCTGAAACATGTTGAAATCAATTCATATAATTATTTATTTTATTCACAAATTTATTTTTGTCACATGGTCTTCAAAAATTGTATTGCAAATACAAGTCACAGTATCAAATGTCACACTAAAGAAAAGATGGCTAAAAGCATTCCACTATCTTGCCACACAATCACAAAGCAATAATCGACTTATTGTTCTGCCCATAACAGATGGGGTCTCTTACAATTCATTGCTAAATGTACTTGATTTAAAACATACCCAATAATAAATAGCCTTATGTCAAGCACTGTCAAGCAGCTGATCAGACATATCTTTATTTAACATGACTCCTCAGAAGGGTCTCAGTCACCAAAGCAGGTACAAATAAACTGTTATTCAAACATCATAAAATATATTCACTTATCTTGAACAGCCCGTACATTATAATGCAGCAATAAAAGCTATGTACGTACCGCCATGCTAGGATTTGATTTCGTGATATACACAACAGAGGGATAAAATTGTTTCTTCTGGTAATATGCATTTCCAATTACTGCTGTTGTCAGTACTAAACTTATCAAAATTGCTCCCACTGCTCGCATTTCGTAAAATTCGGCACCCTTCACTGGGTGGTACTCTATTGCTGTCACTACTAAAATTTCGGTGGTCTCGATTACAACGCTGTTGGCGTTAGACATCAAAAACATACGTCATACGTTTACGTGTCTGAATGCTACTGCCTCACTGGCTACAACAGCGAGCGCCAATTATTTAAAAATGTTTTTTAACTTGCAGTAATAATAGTCAACAATTAAACTACCGTAAAACTTAAAAAACTTGGTTTTTCATCTAAAATAATAACCAAACCACTGTGTATGAAAATAAACCAGACACAATAAACCTTTTTGAAATGAGTTTCACTTCAAAATAAATTAGAATAGGTTATGTTGCAGAAGGCAACTAATTGTCGTATCAAAATCTCACTTTATATCAAACCTTCTTTAATTCTTTTGCAAAGTGTGACGTTTTGGTCCTTTCCCCTGAGGTACATGCATGATATTCAATTTAAGTAAGAATTCTCTTTTTTTACTTGCTGGTTTGTGAAATATGCCTCATGCGGACTCGTGCAAAAATCAAAGTTGCACGATATCAACTGACGCATGTCCTTCTAGGGTAGCTCTTGCAATTTAGTCCAATACTTAAAAATGCAAAAGCTTAGTTAAAAGTGCTGTGATATAAGTCTGAGCGAAACTCACATTTTTCGAAAAATATACTGAATCTCGCGAATTAAATTGATCCCGAAATAGATTACATTGAAGTATTGTATTGTTAAAATAAAAATTTCGTTAAATTGCCTAATGTAACAATTTTTTAAAATTATTTATGCCTTAATTGTGCGGAATTCATCAGCATTTGCGAAACGGTTACACCCTTACCTCAATACTTCATTTTATAATTGGCGCCACTGATTCGATGGAGAGCATTAATCAAGAGGAATAACTTATATTGTTTTTCTGTGAAACAACGGAGCTTTTTATTTTGTGTTGTTTAAAGTCTGGAATATGTTTTATCCCAGAAACGATGTATCAGCTAATAGCTCAATTTATATTTCTGAATATTTGCAGCTGCTTGGTAAGAAATCTTTAGTCTACCCTAAAAGTTCCTTGATGAATATTTTCATATGTCAATTTTTCAGATGGAGTTATCATAAAAAAGTTCCTTGAATTGGATAAATGCTGCCTACTAGCAGATCGATATATTCTTGCAATGATATTTACATACTTTACAAGAGCACAGTTAACTCCTCATGAATTCACACCCTATAACTTCTTTGTTGCTCTGTAAGTACCTAAGTACAGTATGTATCCAATTACCGCAAAAGGAAACAAAGCGACACATTGTCGTAGTAAATTATGTCATTTGTATCTAATAATGCACAGCATCCCTTCTATTTGTGATAACTACAATGTTCCACTTAACATTAATAATTTAATCAAAGAATGTTACTATTTCTAATGTACAGACAGGATTTTAGATGGAGGCAATTATTAACTATTGTTATATCCACACTATCAAGAAAAGGTTCTGAAATACTGTAAGGCTATTGTCATTTATGAACTACAAATTATGTTTTTGAACCCTGTAATAAAACAGTTTTTTTTTAACTATGTATATGTAATAAGAATAGCGATAATACTAGCATTGCATAATAAAGCATTGCATTGCAATAGCCACTACAAGAAATTGCAATGCAATGCTTTTCTCTTGTAATGGAATGTATTGTTTTTTCTAACAACCTATAAACTGTTATTTTATAGCAAGGAACTGTAAAGTACTTGATGGTATTTACAAAATGAAATAGAATGCATGTTTCTATAATGTTCTTTTTCACTATAACATAAAAGTCGCTAATGACCTCAGCAGTTGATGAAAGTTAAAATTTAAAAAATAAAATAAAATTGACATATTTCTGAAGAAAATGTAATTCACAAATCCTTTAACCAATAAAATACAATACCATCCAAATAACATTAAATATTGCCATTTCTGCAAGAGATAAATTAAATAACTGAGATAGAGAGAAATTAATTATTTCACTCATTTCGTTGCTTTCTGTTTCTCCATTTCATGAGCCATGTTGTTTGAGTATTCTAACCATATATTTCAATAAAAGTATTAAATAATTTTATATTAATTATTGCTGATCATCTGAAAATCTTTTACAGCCATCTCGCACATGATATTGAAGAAGATGATGAAGAATTAAAAAGAGCTTCAGTGATTTTTGCATTACATGGTGAGACAGCATGTAATTGCGTAGACAATGACTTTTACCAGAGCTTTCTTAGAAGCAGAAATATTCTGTTGGAAAGAATGAAACACAGAGCTCTTGTTAGCCTTGGATGCTGTTTAAAGGTTTTCAATTTTTCATTATTTATATGCTGTGAACATATTAATTGGTAAATGTGCATGAAAACAGGATAAGTCAAGTTTTTGTCCAAAACGATTATGCTAGAGCAATGCTTTACTGCAATACTATCATTGTGTATAGAGGAATAAGTGACATTTCAATTTTTCCATTAAACTTTATGGACAAAATTGAAATGTATATTGAAATAAAAGAAAGTATAAAATTTGTTTTTCAAATTCAAGGTAATAGAAATGCACCCCCATCATTCTGCCTGGCTAAGGTTCAGAGCAGAAGTCCATGCAGGAGCCAACAGAGGATACATGCCAAAGAGCATTCATGGAGCATCTGAAGTAAATGATATATGTTGGAATTGCAACAAGTGGAAAACAGTCCTTAACAATTAACTCAAGGAAGGTGCTATTCGCTTTAGTATTTTACTGCAGTCAAACTTGTTTTCAAATTTCAATAAAATTTTCAAGTTTGTAACAAAATAAAAAAAAACAACCAATAACATCTTCAAAACTGCATTTTCTGTGCTGTCATTGTCTTTTATCTTTTCACCTACATATAAATAACTTTTTTATTGATAGTGAAATTGAGAATGAATACAGTGAAATGTCTTAAGCAGCTGCTTATAATTTCAGAGGAAATCATTGTAAGTGCAGGTTAGCTTAATTGAATCGTTTATTCCAAAAACCCTTCGAACGCCAAAATACAAAACAGTCAGTTTGCAATACAGAGGAAACTTTGGAGCATGCATGAAAACCATTTACCGTTAGGTGAAATGGAAATTAACAACTCCATGAGAAAGCATTTGCAGACATAACTGGTTAAGTAATCTGATGATGCATCCGAAAGAAGGAAGATGTCATTTCAACAGTAATCATCAACAGCCTTGCTTTTCTTATAGTTACAAAACAAAATTGCAAATTCATCAGTATATTTTAACTGTCTAAAAGTTTGATCACACAATGTGTCTTGCCATTAACCACAGGGCCAAATGACCTCTTAAAAGAGAATATTTACATGTTTTATCAATTACATTAAAAATTGGCAAGTTTCACTGTGTATATCAAGTGAATAGATATAAAAAAAATTCAAATAAAATATTTTTTATTTCAATCTCAATACAATTCATATAAAAATATAGTGAACTTACACATACATTTTTATACATTACAACTTATTATATTTAAAAAGGGACCCCAAATATTGAATAAAAGAACTCCAATTATATATGATAAAAATGCAGCTTGAAAATTACTGTAATGTCACATTTTATAATATATACATATTTCTCTTTTTTTAAGTCCAAAATTAAAAACAATCTTTTAAAAACCTCATTTACAAATTATATTTAAAAGTACTCTTTTGCATTTTTTTTGCAATAAAATTATAACTTAACATATAACAATATAAATGTTTGGCATTGTCTTCTTACTTCAAACTTTTAAGTACATGTTTCTTACATAATATAATCAATCACAAGTAACAAAAGCAAACTTTATCACTCACATTAGATTAAAGAAAATACACATTTTTTGAAACACTCTTTATCACTTTTCTTTCTTCCTCAATAAAATCAAAAGTAGAAAGTAAGTACAATGATCAATTTACAACTAGTAAATGTTGAACACAATTGAGTTTTTTTATTTATTTATTTATTTTTTTAATATATCAAGTTAAAGAAAATTGTATTAGACATTTCTTTGATATTTAACAGAAAAACATTATGTCTGAATGGTTCTTTTAGATTTCTCTCGAAGAACACAGGATGACTGCTTATAGCTAACAACAGGAGTGCAAGCGTTCAAGTTGGGCAAAGCTTTCAATGGAGTAGCTGCACGATGCGAGTTAGAGACTGGTGCAGGAGTGCGACAATACGGTGTGCGAATTAATTCGGTAGGCGATTTCACAAGCAAGGGTTTTTTAATAAATGGGGAGGTTCTAGGAGTTTTGTAAGTGTTTTGCCGATTGCTTTCAAACTGTGTAGTTGCATTAACATCAATTCTGTTACAGTCCTTCAAAGGTGACATCGACATTTTGCTCATTTTTTCTATTCTAGGTGTACAAACGTCATAAATAGTTTCTTTCAAATTCTCAGGCAAATGAATCTGCTGTATTATTTCTGTTTTGGTATCATAATTTTCATTATTAACTTTACTTAATGGTGAAACGACAAAGTTCTTCGTAGAACTCATGTTCTCTTTTCCACAATTCAAAATTGATGGAGGTGCAGTTGAATTTATTTTAGAAGCAAGTGGAGAGCGATACAAATTTTCTCTTAAACTATTGCATTTTTTAATGTTACATTCATTTCCAGAATTAGTGTTTCTTTTTTCTTTTTGAGGCGACTTGCTTGACTTATGTTTTTGCTTTTTATTATCACTTTTTGGACTTTTCTGACTTTGGTATTTCTTTCTAGGAGATCCTATTTTCTTAGGACTTCCCTTCAAAGCTAATGACTGACCAGGAGCAGAATTCAGTCTAACAGATCGCCTCCGTTCCCCTGGCACAGATTGTGAATTAAGTTTTTCAAGGAAATTGTCTTGGATGCATTTTATTCTCAAAGACTGAGCATTATTTTGTGCCACAGCAATTGATGTTTTCTCCAACTTTTCTTCCCCTCCTGGATGTAAATAGGTGACCCTTGATGGTGTTCTGTTAGGATCTTCCTTTTTATCAAATAACCGCATTCGCGCTAGTACCATGCCAGCATTCTGACTTCTTATCTTTACAACTGATTCTCGCCCAGAAATAGGTACCTTTTGAACATCATGCTTTCTAAAGAACTGTGGACCATTCTCCCATTCTGAATGGTTAGAATTACTTTGACTATTAAGCAATTGTTTTCCACAATTTGAGGATGTACAAGCAACATCTCCTTGGCTTACTGATTTTTTTATATCACATGTATTACTATTTAACAAATCAGTTCCATGGAAAGATGATGCACGACGAACCTCACATCGGTTTGCGGTATTTATGTTTGAATTATCTTCAAAAGTATGAGACGATTTAACACTTTCAGTACACAACATATTTGAATTACTAGTTTCTTTACCAGAAGTTACCATTAAGCTCTGTCCATCAGTTTGACGAGAATCTTGACCAAACACAAAATCCATCTTTGGAGTTTCTACATTATTAACAACAGGTACTCTTAATGGACTTGGATGAGGCAGACCAGAAAAAACAGTATTTGGCCTACCTCTTCTCAAATTACTCTTGGCATAAAATACTTGATCTTGCCCAACAAACTGGCTAGGATTTTGTTTTAAGGATGCATGACGTACTACATGTTTTGGGCTGTTATTTTTATTCATTTTATCCAAAGATGTTCTAGCATTTTCTCTTGATCTGCGCCTAATAGTTCCAATTTTACGAGCACTCGGAGATCTTATAATTTTATTCTCAAGGCTATGACGTATTTTCAGTTCTTTACTAAGACGTTTGGCAAGTTGGTCTGTTGAGATGGGATCCCCTAGTTTTCCAGACTCTTCCAGAGTTTTTTCATAAGCGCTCTGAACTTTTTTGGCACTGCTCGTTTCTTCTTCACTTTCATCTATTAAAGGAATATCTCCAATATTATTAATAGGATTAGAAGCAATGCATCCAAATTCTTGTGAAATTCTATTCTCAATAGCTGATACCCTATTTTTAATCTCTTCATATTCACTCTTTGGTATTTTTACAAATTCGGATTCAGAACTAGACACACTACTAGATAAATCAACACCTTCATCAAACACAGATGTGCATGATGTACTATCAGAACAAAACACACTATCAGTTGATCTGTTATCAGCCACAACATCTGGAGTGTAAACAGGTGTATCAGACGAACTCAGACATTTCTTCCGCTTCCATGGCCCATTCTTCCATTGCCAATCTAAAGATGTACGATGTTCTTTTTCAGAACGGCAACTTGTGTCTGTTTCAACAGCAGAACTGGTATTCACTTTTTTCTGAAACAATTTATTTTACATTTAAGTAAAGAATATCACAAATAATATGAAAGAAGGCACAAAAAAGTTGATTTCCAACATAAAGCGAGTTACAAAACTATTCTAAATTAGATATCAACATTCACTTCTTGTAATTTGACAAATCCGACTTCAAATATATCTACGTCAAATACATTATATATGGTTCCTTGACAGTTAGAAATATAATAAAACTTAATTTATTATAAAAGATTGAACCTCGCAAATTAATTGAAGCGCAACATAAGCAAGGTTCACACAGTGGCTTCAATACTGCAATTAAATGAATAAAACTTTTCACTAAACAATCAGATAAGCCCAGCCCGACCACTGCACTAAAAAGGAACATTTTTAGCTACACCTCTCTTCAAAAGTTACACAACCCACGCTGCAGTTAAGTTGTTTATGCCTCATCCAGTGCAATGAATTTTCAGAGAAACATTAATTTCAAACTAGTGGAGCTAAACTAGCACATACTTTTTTGCCATTATTTTAAAGGAAAATTATATGAAAAATACCTACTCAAATTTTCAAAAAATTGAACACACCCTTATTTGAAAATCGAAAACAGATTTCAATAAGGCAAAAAAATCTCATCTTCATAATTGTAGATGTAGGAAGACACAAAAAAATCTCATCTTCATAATTGTAGATGTAGGAAGACACAGAAAAAAATTGAGTTTTCGCAATTTTCAACAAAAATCTTTTATCATCATTCTCTTAAGATAGTCCTTCACACTATCTAACAACAAAATTTAATAAAAAATGATGGAGACTTTTTTTTTTATTTTGAAAATGTCCCAGGGGCTTCATGTAAAGTACCTGCCAAAATTAAAATATCAGTTCCAACTTTAAAGGACCACAACAGCCAGATCGATTCGGGAATATCAATTTTAGAGAAAATCAGCTGAACTGTTTAGCCACTAGAGTTGTTCACAGACAGACAGAAGTTTTGCTGTCATTCAATTTTTTGGTACGAAGGCCCAACAAAACATGGATTCTGGCAACACCACATGATAGAGGATTTTTTCTAAATTTAGCAACAGTATTTATTCACGTTTCATTTCTAGGGCCCTGTAACTTTGAACCCTTCACGTTTTTCTACACAGCATTACATAACTTTCCATAGTGAGAAAGTAAAAATTAAGTCTTTTCCTGCATAATGTGCAATCCCATTGCAATCTCAAAATTAAATTATTCTACAAGAAAAATAAAGTGGTGTCAATAATCTGAACCGATTTTCAGAATTTCATGTTGACAAAAAAAGCATGAAGTGAATATGTATCTACATGCAGGCTAAATTAACCACTTAATATAAAAGTCTGAATATATTTGTTTAAAAGAGTTAATTCAATAAGTTCAATAGTTTCCTTTCCCTACATAATGATGAATATGAATATTAACGCACATTTTCATGCTTTTTATAATTCTTAAATATTATTGAAACTCAAAACTTCATGTATCTTAAAACTATAAAGTTTAAAAATTATTTCTGTCACATATCTCAAGCTATCAGAGTAAACATAGAATATCAAATTCAATAAAATTACAAGTTTTGGACTGCTTTTAGTTTCATAATTGATCATTTGAGTCAAAAAAAGATTTGATAAAACCTAATAATTTTATTAAACTGAAGAAAGTTAGGTAATACAGAGACAAAATAAGTTATAAATAATACTGTGTTCTGCCCAGATTTACTTAAACAAAGACAGTGTACATGCAATTTGCACTCTCTAGAATAGTACTTCTCTAAGAACTCAACATTTTCAATTTGCTTAATCTGAAAACAATATAGAAGATACATGAAATAAATCTTTTTTTCTTTTTCAGTTTCTCTCATTTTCATTTTATTTAAAGATTTCCAATATTTTTACTGAAATGCAATACTCAGAACTTGAGGAAAGGAAATCTTTCAACTAAATCTTAATCAAAAATTTGAAGCATATTCATACACTACCAAATTTGACTCTAATTGCATCAATCTTGATAATAAATTGTTTCAGAATGTTTTTTCAACTGACCTCTCTCAAACAAGAAATCTCTTAGTTTAAACATTTAGGAAACAGGAGAGATTCAAGAAAATATTAAGCATTTCTGGCTTTTGGAAAGTCAAATTAATATTTTCCTTTGAATTATCTGGGTTCATAATAATGATATAAAAATACCAAAGGCAGGTACATTTTGAGATTATTTCAAAAACTATGACTTCTTAAAACAACTTTCTAATACTAAACTTTTAAATTCCTAAAGCCTACTGTCTGAACACATCATTACAGAATACAGGTTTTTGAAAGTATCCAATGAATACAAGTTAAAAGAACATGAAATAAAAAAAGGAAGTCACATCATGAAATACACCAAGTTCTCTGCCATGTTTTAAATTTTTCACTAATTGGTATCATACTCACCAATTTCTTAGCCGATTTCCTAACACTGAGACGTGACTTCAGGCGACTTTCTGATTTAGCAGCTGTCAAACTGTAACAAATTAAGCATGAAAGCAAATGTACATTTGCAATCCTAGAACTGTAAATAATGATGATAATAGCAGCACAGAAGAAGTCCATTAGCAGTGTATGTGGCTTGTCTCAACATAAATTTGGGGGAAAGGAAGAGAGAGAAAGGAGAGAGTGAGACTGGGGGAAGGGTGTGCTTCAGCCCCCCTCCAGAAGATAGGCATATTCACAAGTACAGTTTACTGTAATTTTCTTCAGTAACGAAATGCAATCAGTATCTTAATTGAATATGTTGTAAGTGCAAACCAAGAGTTTTTTAAAATTCAGCCTAAATGAAAAATTCTATATAAGGAAACCCCAACCAGACTCTTACACTCCCCCCCAGATAAAACGTGGTTGAACCACTGTATAGGAAAGACTGTGGCGTAACTGTTATTGATTTTGTAAAATAAAAGACATTTTTCTAGAAAAATGTTTATATCAATAAAGAAATGTAACAAGGCAATGAAAACATGCTCATGCTAAAATTAAAAAAGATTTACATGCAGTATCAGCCCAATATGGCAGGTGCTTTCCAGTCATGTCACAAAGAATTAAAATAGAATGCAGATGGATATTTAAAAGTACTACTGTTAGTAAATGTGGGTAAATATGGCTTACATTTTCCAACAATAAATTAAAGAAAGAGTAAATATTTAATACAGTGAAATATGAAAGTTCCAAAGATCGATATTTTATAGTTTTAGTAAAATATATGCTTCATGGTTCCTGAAATTTAACACAGGAGAACCGATTAGGAATGATACTAGTAAATTAGAGAAGCCACAATTATGAATATACTTTCTTGTAATACAACAGCAACAACAAAAATAATAACAAATTAAATATAATTAATACAAATCATCATCAAAATCCAGTATTAAGAGCTATTGTAAAAGATGTGAAGCTATTGTCAATACAACACCATTATATCTTTCAAACTCAAATTTTGAAATTCAATGAAAATCAATAGATGATCACAAGACGGAATTAAAATATAATGTAACACTTGGAACATTAGCCAATTAGAAGAAAAATAGTGAGAAATAGAAATAGAAGCAACTACTCTTTGGCTCCTAAAGGGGAATCTATTTGGATAAACAATAGAGATTTTTGATCCCTGTTCAGAACTAAATAAAATCAAACATTTACTAAAAAAGTATTGATTCATACCAATAAATGTGGAAAAATCAATAATATAAAAAAGAATTGAGTAAAACTGGTTTATACTCTCTCCTTCTAAATATAAAATAACCAATGTATGCTATACACACAATATATTGTGTACTATAATTTAAAATGAATAACAAAGTAGCAAAACTTTTAGAATGTTAGAAAGAAAATACTATTAGAATATGCCTCCACCTGTGATTAAGAATAATATTTTTAAAATGTATAGGGATAAAGAAGTGTAAAAAAAGTTGTGACAATACAAGCAAAACCACCCTAATAGAAAAAGACATTTATGGCAATGATATCGCCACTGCATTCATCGATAATATATGTACAACTTATAGGACAAAAATTAGCAAATATACTGACTAGGCAATTGAAAACAAGAAATTCTGGGAAGTAAAGAAAGTTACCACCTGGCTCATAATAATTTTGACCGCAGTAGTAGTACAAGAGTACCAAAATAATTTGAAGCATTATGAAAACTAATATGTTAATGTTTATAATTTAAAATGTTATTGCAGATCCATGCCACATTGTTCAAAAATTTCTTTGAGAAGAATTTTTGTAATGTTTAAGTTTATACATCTATTCTCATGATTAAACTACTTTTGAGACTATGCTTTACAGGTATATTGTGGGAACAATATTTTTACATAATGTATATATGATACTTATAGGGAATTATGCAATACTTAAGGGAAATATGTCACAATCTTCTTCTCATATAAATAAGGTAGTCAAAATCCACAATTTGTGAGTCCTTAATATTGGAAAAGTGTTCGTTTTTATTCCCCCAACCCCCCCTCAAAATGGCTGTCTGATTTTCAGTCCATCCATCTCTGTACACTAGCTCCTAAAATATTCTCAGGATTTTATACAAAAGAAATATTCCCCTATCAGTCAAAGTGCACTCAAGACCTTGCAAGCAAATTGAAACAGATAATTTCATTTTTGGGGGTACTTTTCATAAAATCTCTTAGTCGTTATAAAATTTTGCTCACAAATGTCTCCAAATTTTTTTACTTTAATAAATTTAATGAAAATCAGACTCCTGACAAGTCTGATTTTCATTAAATTCTTTGCATTTTTGAAAATTGAAGAAGTATAATCCTAGAATAATTATTCTCACTATTTACTCACACTAAATATTTACATGATTTTATAAAATGGGTTTTAATGGAATTGTTTTCAAAGGGGTTAACATAAAACATTGATACACATAATAATTTACAAAAGGAATATCTTAAAAAATAAACCACATTAATAATTTCCATCATATCTCAAAGTATTATTATTACAGCAACACGAGTTGGAAAATAGTTTGTTTCCTATTTGCAACAATTAAGACCACTATCACTATAATTAGAATCCCATTGTTTCTTGCTGTTATTAATTTATCTAAATCATAAGCTAAATTCAACTCATCTCTGATCTATTGATTTTGTTCCCTATCATCAATAATCATCTCCATCATTCTGAAAGAATTACAACACAATACTTCCATATAAAACATGTTTATACAAAACTTGTCACAAAATCTCTGAAGTATGCAGTACTACTAGATTGTTAAAAATACTTTGAATTATTCATCAGAACTCAGTATGCTAAAATTATACTTACATAGATTTTGCACAAATTATGTTTCTGCACTACCTATGTGTGATATAGACATAATATTATTAGGCAGTCAATGGAAGTTAAATATCATGTTACAATTTTTGCTTGTATAGGGCAAAGTGCACTTATAAATAAGGTATATGTATGATTTTCATTAAAAACTGAAATTTTGAAATTTGCTTAAGTTCATATTTTTTTTCAATTCTGCCCTACCCTGTGAATACTGAAGACACAAAATTTTTGTTTCTAAATGCAATTTAGTTCTGAATATTATATTATAATATTCTAATATTATAATATTGCATAACTGTTACAAATAAAATAAGTATATGCTTTTTATTTCCACTAGTTTATAATTAGTTTATAATTTTATGAGTATATTGTTTCTTGTTTATGTACTATTTTAAGTGATACCAAATTGAAGAATTGAATTAATTTGTATTTGAGAGAAAAAGTAATAAATTTAAAAAAATAAACAACATTGTTATTTTGAGGAGTCTCAGGCAACAAGGTAACTTTATTCTTAAGCCAGTAGTTTTCAACCCTCTTAAACTAATTCCACATTAATTTTTACTTATCAGTGTTTGTATTTTCTGGCAAATTGAACACTACACCATAGCAACTGTAATTAAAGAAAAAATTCAGAAATCAATCCCACTAAGAAGAAAAAACTAACTACAGAAAATAAAAATCATCATCAACAACTACGTAAAAGAATGGTTGTCCTAAAGTTCAATACATAATACAGGTAAGCATAACAACTACTCACTCAATCCTTTCACAAATCTTTTTAAGTAAAAATGTTGAAGCTATGAAATGTGGTCAACACACAACGTAACAGAAATTAATTTCCTCAATAAAAAAATTGGAGCAGCAATTTCTCATGAATTTTCCCTTTTAAAGCCCGTGAGCAAGCGTTTGTTACAGCATTATTAACACAACCATGCTCCTGTTACTTACATATTGTTCTTCTCATTTTGTTGGATAAGTAAGAAGAACTTTTTATGTTTTTGTTTGCAGCTTGGACTTTCAGATTTTCCACATGGGCTAAAAAATTACATTTCTTTTCAGGACACGGAAACAACAATCATAAAATCTGAAAGAACCGGATCTGAATATTTTCAATCACAGCAAAAAAGAGAGTGCAAGTACTTACTTAGGATGTGAATGAACTCTGGGAGTGTAGTGTAATTCTCCAATAGTTGCAGGCAAAGGCGTGCAGGGTGCATTAGCAAGGGTGACACTTTGTGGCAGTGACCGCAAAATATCTCGTCTGAAATAGAAGTGGCTGAATGCATTCTGTTTCATTATACTGTAGTAGATGAAAATGTTTACAAAAAACATTCATGTTATTAGCTCAGCCACATATGCTCAGAGGAGTATTTATGTTATCCCGGTATGAAATAGGTAACCCATTGACCCTTTGGTGGTAAATGTCAAGAAAATTCATTGTTGCATTTTTTTAATGAACACATTGAATCCACTAGTGTATCAGACTTATCTACCAACACTAGAACTCATGACTTCTACATAATTCCGCATCAACCACTACAGATAAAAGCTAATGATACTCTACAGATACAAAATGTAACTAATACACAACTGAATGAATAAAATACATATTTTAAGGTTGGCCATTTAAAGAGTGCTTACAACAAAAAATTTCAAACCAACTATTTCTAAAATACAGGTCACGTTAATAAGTATTATGATAATGTTTAATACATCAAGCACACAAAGAACTAAGAAAGAAAAATGGAACAAACAGACTACAAATCCTATGGTTCTTAATTTTATGACTATGTATCATAATTATAATACATGCTCTAAATTGTTTTTGTATCATTCTGTAATACCACTTCTATTTATTTTCCTCTTATAACAAAAACACGGACGGTGACTGTAAGTATTAATCCAGGAATACTACACATGTGAATTATCACACATTTTAATAACTGCAATGTGCAGTAACCAAAACACAACCAATGATTTTCCTATTCACAAAAAAAAAATTACTGCTTCGTGAATGTTTTAAACTTGAATATCTATTTTCTTAAAAGAAAAAATAAATAAATATAAAAGATATTTGTTAAGATACATAAATGCTCAGGTGTCTGCTAAGAACATGACCACATACATTCATTAAAAAAGAGCAGAACACAATAATAATAATCCTTCAAATACCCCATCACAGTTTAGAAAAACTTTTATCAGTGTAGCTATTAATATTTGTAAAATATTAATTGATCAGGCTTATTGGATGCACAGTAATTGTAAGTTATAGGGCAAAGCATGAAATCTAATCCAGGGTAACACACAAAATGAAATATTACATCAAACCTTTTTCAGATAGGCATTAGATTTTTTTATATATTCCAATCAGTAGAAGATTATATTGTGATTGGCACATGATATACTAATTTTACTGATATTATTTTGATGAATAAAGTTTGTGATTTTCCATGTATTACATCTTTGAACATCATGAAGCTTTCAGGGAACAATGCTGTAAGAAAGAACTGTAACTAGAAAAATTGTGTCTGGGGGAAAAAGTGGGCAATGTTGGAAAGCTTGTGTAGAACAGTTATCAAAATGTCAAAAGCTTATTTCATGCCCCCCAGCTAGATTCTTTACTGCAAATGAAGAAGAAAGAAATAAAAGTTGTTGTGGGCATTACCACTTATTTGCTTAAGTTTACAAGCCAACATGTACGATTCAAGAACTAATAATTGTAGTGAAAAGTTATCTAGCAACAGTATAAGAATTTCTCAGGAACTATATTTCATCACATATTATCATCAATTTAGCTTATGCTTATAAATCCACAACCAAAAGTCAATTCAATATATTATCCGATGATTCCTAAAAAGGAAAGTACTCGTAAGATACATAAAAAGGAAAGTAGCAGTTGCATAAGGAGTGTGAAAACCTTTCTTTTTTAAAAGCAACAACTGTTGTTCTTTCGTGTGCAGTTCGTTGAGAAGGTAAGCAGTGAAGAAGGTGATGCTACTCTTAAATCCATGTATATACATGGGCATTCTACTTCATTTTACTGGATTGGCATCATTGTGGAGTTTTATTTTCATACGTTTTCTACTAAGATGATATCAACACTCCCTTACTAAGAAGAAAGAAAGAAGAAAACATTCCTCCAAAGCAGTTGAAACCAAGTTATATAATTTGTTACAAAACATTTAAATTGGGAGAAATATTGAGGCACTGACTAAACTGTGTGTTCCACCAAATAATAAATTATTATTATTATTATTATTATTATTATTACAACACAATCTAATTATGTCTTGTTCATCGACATTGAACTGTATTATTATTGTTGTTTGTATACATTACAGCCTTTCCGAAGATATGATACTTACAAAAATTAGTACTAAATGAATAAATTCATATGTAAATTGAAATGAAATCTAAAAAATGATTTCAGAATTACTGGACCTGCTAAACGAATTACTGAACCACACATTTTACAATTTAGATTATCTGCTAAACGAATACACACATTTCATTAAATTTTTGGAAGAAATCCAGTCAATGAGTATAAAACAAGAGTTGCAAAGTATCTTCAAAATCTGAAATGGTAGATAACATGTCTCAGATGAACTGACATGGAATTACAATCAGCATCAGATGCCATATTTCAGCATCCACTTTTATTCTAGTATGCGATTTGTAATTCTTTTAGTTTCAAAAAGTTTACTAAAGACCTATCGCAACATCTGAATGACAATGGCTCAAATAAAATGATATCAACATTCGGTAAATTAAATGTCAAAAATTACATGCTAATTATGCAAAAATCAAGAAATTAAATAATTTTCAATATAACTTATGATCCTTGTGAAAATATCATACAGACTTATTTGTCAGACTGTATTTGCCCTTGATATCATAGACAGAAAATTCAGTATTTTGGATAGCAGTTTTACATCAAAATAATGAAATATGTTTGTAGATTACTAAAATGAGTAATATGTAAATAGCAACAATATTGAAATCATAATTTCCATCTTCAGGCTAGAGTTAAATATCAAAAACATGAAAGACTTTACATACTTTTTTTTACTTGAAAAGGCTCCTGATGATTCTTGTAACTTGCGCTTTTTAGTAGATTTGACACATGGTGATGAGAAATCCGGAGTTGATACAACTGGACAGACATTCACATCAGGAGAACCTTTTCCCACTATCTTCTTTAAGCCATTGATCATTCCTACATACACACAATATTATTTCCATAAATTGGAAAAATTGTATAATAAAACAATATATAACTTGAAAGAATTATAGAAGTCATACTTGTTAGAGATCCACTTCTCCTCTTCTTCTTTTTCTTCACTTTATTTTCATCATTTTCACTATAGTCCATTTCCTCACTGGTGGATACAACACAGCCACTGTTCAGTGCTTTTTCAATGAGAAATTCTGGTAGAAAACCAATTTTCTCAGTGTTATGGAGTAAAATCTAAAAAGTATCATTGAATTTTAAAACAATGTCAAAAAGTTAACACTGTACCAGTGCCAAGAGTTCAGTGTACTAGCCACGATATCACCCTACATATGCAGAACAAAGTCATTTACAATTACATGCATTTCACAATATATTTAGAAGCTGAATAAAACAGTGTAATATAATTAAATTCAAGCCTGTTTTAAGTTTACCAAATTTGTTTCCCATACCTCAATAACTCTCACATGATGACCTAATCTGGTACCATTATTCATAATTTTCTCTTCCACAGGCATCAATGATGGTGTAATGATAATGGCTAAATTTGTAATACCCATTTTATTTGATTCCTCATTGTTCGCCACTTCTCTGAAGAACTAAAAAGCAGGATCAAATTAAAAGTAATAATTGAAACCGACACATATTTGAATGATAAATAGTACACACATATTTACCTCCATTAAATAAACTAACGTATTTAAGTGAACAGATGGGAAGAGAAGACATGTCAATAAAATTGCTTCAGTGGCTTTATCTTTCACCAACAGGCACCTACAAATTAGAAAAGTAATTAGATCCAATACTATCATTACAAATTCTTCAATAGCATGCAGTCAAATGTGATTTTGAAAACTTACCTCAATAATAGATCATGAAATGAAAATGGTAAAAGAGGTTCTGGTAATTCTCTGAAGAAGAGTTTCAAGATATTTGAAACATCAATCACATGATGCTGTGATTCCAAACGTTTCCCACCATCAATAATTGCCTACGTTAGGAAATTTTACATTATAAGATTTGAATAAAGCATTTAACTTACAATATATGTGTCTTTCACATTCCTTACCTTTATCTCACGAAGGCGAGCTGCAGAACCAGCTTTGCGGAAAATGCCTTCTACATTACAATGGTGTTTAATATGACAGCATGCTTCAACAACAAACGAAGGAATCTCGACTGCTGTTCCAGATTTTAATGTTACATTTTGAGTTTTTAAGGCACACAGAGGTCTTCTAAAAACTTTGGAGCCTTTGGGAGTGTGCCTGGTATCCTAATGGCATACGATACAAGAATTATTGGTTGTCCAATAATATATTTCACTTATACACATTTGCTGTTTATGAAAAATATAACTCAAATTACTCCTTACAAGATAAAATACTGGGTACTCACCTGAATACTTTTGGAAAAATGATTCTTCTTGTGTCTATGCTTAATTCCAAAGTCTCTAATTGTGTGTAAAACAAGAGAATGGAACTCATCGCTTTGTTTCAGGTTTCCAATATACATTTTCTATAAATTAACTTGAATAATCACAGATACAATTTCAAAGTAAGCGTCATCATTCTCCTTCTGATTCTACATCGCCATTGGTACTCACGTGAAATCTCGACGTACCGCAACCAATCACAACAAACGCTTCAGCGCAGCCTCCTTTGAATGTAACCGCTCTTCGCCAAACATAGTTGACACTTGTATCTTGAATTTTAAATTAATGTTCATAAATTGGTAATATGAAGTATTTATTAATACTAAAATAGTTTAGTTATTACTAAAACGTACTTATATTTCCTAGATATATCTTAATAAATACACATTTGTTCATGTAAGCATACAGCCATCACCTTGTCGTACGTGGCAATCCAGCATTTACTAGCAGTATTGTGGAAATGGTGGGTTACAATTGGTCACAATTAGCTTAGACTCTGCGTCATCTAGTGTACCTTTGACGAACTAGAATGAGCACCATCTAGTGAGGTCTTTGAGAAGTATCACGACATAACTATAGAATACTGTAAAAATATTTGAGAGATTAAGTTTGATACAAAATGTAAGTTTTGAAAACCACCTCTCACTCCCTTAAATTTTGTGTTTCTCAGAATAACATTTAAATAATATCAGAACAATCATATTTATTGCTTACAAACCTTGGATAAGTTAATATGATTACAATATTTGTTTTTGTTAAAACAAAAAATACATTTTTTTTGTTCATACTATATAAAATTAATAAAAATGCATTATCAATGAATAGTTTTGGCAGTTGCTCAACGTGAAACTGTAAAATTAAAAACAAGTTGGTATTGTTATATGAATTGTAATATAAGAAAAATTAATTCTAATATATACATAGGTCGTGTAAATTCATGTAAAACTGTTGTATTTCACTTTTTGAATCGTTTGTAGGTGTTAATTTTAGTAATATTTCTCCTCTTCTGGTAGCAAAAATAAATAGGTTTTAGGGATTGCAATTGACAGATTTAAATTTTAGAAAAGGTGCTCAGGATTGATTCACATCAATCCTTCTTTAACAGGTGATCAATTGAGGCACTATGTAAAAAAATGGTATATATAATAGTTTATTTAATTACTATTATATATAAAAATATATAATAGTTATTAAACCCTATGGTATTGTAATATTCTACACATATGTAAAAGGATTTTTATTACCGCAAATGAAAAGTAGACGTCATTATCTCTTTTTGTTATCTGTGCGGCGTTACAACAATGAGTAACAACCAACAATGACCTCTATTCGTTTTCATTTTTAACGCAATTAGGCGCAATTTAAAATGAAGAAACATAAGTATAATATAAATAAAAATATTAAAATGAAATATGAAATAATATAGAAATTATAACTTTCGTAGCATTCAATTGCGTAAATTTGGAGCGGGCAACTGAGGGCTAGCAAATCTTTATTTCATACTCGTGGACCCGACAATGCTTCGCAATTGTAATGTGTTACACTGGTAACGTGACTGTTAATCACATTTTACGCTACACTCTGTGACAATTCCAACAGACTAGACTTCCTCGCGAGTGTGGTTCCGTCTCTCTCTTCGTGTCTTTCTGTTTCTCTTCCTGTTTCTCTCTCTCTCTCTCTCTCTCTCTCTCTCTCTCTCTATATATATATATACTAATATATATATATTATATATATATATATATATATATAGATAGATAATAGATAGATATAATAAAGATAATAGATAGATAGATAGATAGATAAGATAGATTAGATAGTATATATATAGATAGAATATAGATATAGATAGATAGATAGATAATAGATATAGATTATATATATATTGATAATACTCCCTATGACTCCCTTTTTATTTGTTTCTCTCTCTGCGTCTGTCTTCCTCGGTCTCTCCCGGGAGAGTTTTTCACAATCGCAGGGGCTGAATATGCAATGGAGACGTCTTATATTCTCGCTTTAGTGTGCAACGGGTTGCGTCAAGCGCCGTTACGTAGAGCGGCCTATTCAGTGCGATTGAATCAGCATAAAATCGTCTTCAATGCACGTTTATGTGCAAAAGCATTTCCATCGAACTATGCCTGTATTTTTCCTGGAAGTGCAAGCAATAAGTTGACTAAGCTTTTTCGCAATCAGATATGCGGTACGCCAGCGCATTAAGTATAAACCAACAAACAGCAAACATTGTCTTTATTTTGACATAAGATTTATTTCAGTTAAGTTTCAGTTAAGTTTTAAATAATTTCTAAAAGATTAATTTGTAAATGTATAACAAACGCTCCAATGTAAGAAACGAACAAAGAAATATAAAATAAGAAATAATATACGTATTTTAACTTACATAGTATCCAACTGCTTGAAAACACCTTCAAAATTACGATCAAAAAGCGCAAGATTTTCAGAGCGGGCAACTATGACGCTGAATTTCTTTAAAAATACTCATGTTTCCAAAACTGTCAACACGACCTTAATTGAAAATCTATTAAGAAAAAAACTATCATCAATATTATAGTATATGCAAAATTAACTTTTTGCAATTATCGAAGATTCTGAGAGTTCGCATAACAACAATTTTTACCATTACTATTGCTATTACCATTACCATTACTATTACCATTACTAGATATAAGGAAAATTTAAAAGAAAAAACAACGAAGCCGTTTTTGAGGAAAGAAGTTTTAAAATTACCTATATTTCACCCATAATTACTCGAAAACTACTCATATTTTCGAAAAATTGTTCATGACGTTATTTCAAGATTTGTCTATCAACAACAGATTTCATTAAGGAAAAAATATATGTCTTCAATATTACAGTTGTAGTACAACGCTGAAAAAACATGAACTTTTGCAATTTTTGATAAATCAGAGATTTCAACGAAAATGAGAAATGTGCAATTTTCAAAGCGCCCCTTACGGTATCCGAAGACAACATTTAATCCAAAAATGTGGAGATATTTTTGAGAAAATTTGAAACGTGTTGAGGCTTCTTGTACAGTACCCCCTTCCCAATTACAATATTGATTTCAAACTCGCAGGGCTTCAAGTATCTTTGTATGGATCGGGGAATATCAATGTTGGAGATCGTTTTAACCGTTTCAAGAGCTAGCATTCCTCATAGACAAACTGTCGGACGAACTGACGTTTTACCGTCTATAGATTTTTCGGTATAAAGGATCAACAAAACATGGGTTCTGACTATACAACGTGTTAGAGGAAGTAATTTACTACATACAGAAACTGGATTTATCTCCTTTTTGGATACCAGCGCCCAACAATAACATTTTTCTGTCAAAAATTCGCATCTTCTTACGAAGTAAGGCAAGAATGTAAAAATCAGTAGTTTTAATTATGTTGTTCATTATATTTTTAAAGTAAGGTGAACAGCAAGATCTCTTTACCATATTACCATACATGTATTTGTACAGATTTTCACAAATATAAAATACTTTTTTACATTTTCAAAAAGATGCTGAACTCTGGGTTCATAGTGAATAGTGATTGAATTTGTCCAGAATGTATAAACCTTTCTTATTTCATTATAGTCTTCGAGACTTAATTGTGAAAGACATGAAGAATGTTTTTTGGAATTCTCTACTTTCCTTGAAGTACGCAGTGAGATGTGTTGTAAAAGACGAGCAACAAAATTTTTAAAAATGGATCTGCACTATTTTTAGAATATTTTGGAAGAGTGCTAAAGGAAGGAATTTGTTGGTAGTTCCAATTGACAGTGGTGAGAATTACTATACGGCCACCTGCCCTTTTGATGGAACATCGATGGGACTTGATTCAGAGATGAAGATAGTATGCTATATTACTAATTTTCAATTTGCACAGAAATTGAAAGAAAAGAGCAACCTCGGGCTATGCGAGATGTGCCTAAGGTTTCGTTAGCTACCAAGGAACTCGGTAAAAATCCAAAAACCATGAAACAGTTTCAATTTTGACTAAAAATCTAAATATTTGATTGTTACTCCGTCTATTCTCATTCTGTATCTACCGCCTAAATTTTCATATTCAGTACATACGACACAGCTGTCATGCGACATCAAGGCTCCAAGGATGAGGCCATCTGCTATTAAATATTTGCTATTCACGTTTTACGTTTTGGAACAGCAACTTTTTAGATTCTTGACGAGTAAATAACAGTTATACTGTGTGAATATGTATACAAATATATATATATATATATATA